AAAAAAAAAAAAAAAAGAGCGAATTTTGTGTAAATATGGGTAGGGCTGTGCCAGAGGAGAGGAGAATGCCAGGCAGTGCTTGCTACTCAGAGAGAGGGCTGGAGGTGGGGCAGGGAGAGGGAGAGGTCCGGTTCACAGAAGACTGGTTCTGCTAAACGACCTTGCTAAGTCGGGGCTCGGCACCAGATGCCAGGGGGTGGGGAAGGAGGTTGCTGGAAGAGGAGATTAAAAAATCTAACACATCAAAACAGAGATACAAAAACTACAAAGCCAGGGAGGGGCTGAGAGGGAAGCAAAGGTGCGGAGGATGAGCTGCCCGATCTCTGCTCACCCGCACCCCAGCATCCCCAGCCCCGGATTTCTTAGGGCCAGGCACAGCGTGCACTGAGGCCTCAGGGAGCATCATGGCTCTTTCTGGGGAATACCTGCCTCTGAAGCATCTCAAGCAAGGTCTTGCCGCAGCTACGGGTTTGGGATGGACCCAGGGAAAGCTCAAGTGGGTATTCCACTCCAGGCTGGCTGCTGGGCATTCCGCCGGCTCAGGAAGAGCCAAGCCTGCGTGGGGAAGGACCTCCCAACCAAACCCCAACTCCTCTCAGCCTGACACCCGGGAGCCCACGGACAGAGGGCTAGGAGGGCCAAGGGAGACTTCGGGGGTGGGGGAAACGGGTCCCCAGTGAGACCGCGTGGGGAGGTCTCCAATTTCCCCCCCAAAGAGCTTTGCTGTGTGGAGTAGCTAGTGGGTGACCTGGCACCGGAAGGCGTGGGCTCCCTGCCTCCCTGGGCTGAAATCAGGATGGTCTCTCTCCTATGTGAGGGCCAGGGACCCAGTGGTGTCTTCTGAGAGCACCCCCATCTTATTTTCCCAGTTGCAGAAAGGCACCCTGGCCCCAGCCTCTGCTGGATGGAGCCAAGCGGGGGCCCGGGGTCCCACCTCCCAGCAGTGCCTCTGCCCGCCTTCCTCAGAGAAAGTTTGGCTAAGCTGGGAAATGCAGCAGGGAGGTGGTGGGGGAGGTGCAGACTGGGGAGAATGAAGCAGAGTCCAGCGCTCCCTCCCCGGCTCCCCCCTCAGGTTTTCTAGCATTTTCTGGAGGAGGGCCCTCCGAATTAGGGGCAGACAGAGCAGGCAGCATGTGATTGGAAGCCCCTCTCCTTACCCATGCTGCCGAGCGGTACACTTTGATCGTGGCAGGTTTGCTGTGCTTATGTCGGAGGCCGCTGTTCCAGGGAGGGAGCGAAGGGAGGGAGTTTATACAAGCAGCTGGGGGTGGGGCAGGGCAGGAGGAGGGCCTGGTTTGCAGCCCAGCGTGAACTCCTCAGGGCACTGGCCAGGACACGCTCAAGTTGCCTGGGGCGACTGGTGTTTGAATTATGGGGTGTGTATGTATGTGTTTAAGTGTGCAGGGGTGGGAGCTGTGCTTTTTTTTTTTTTTTTTTTGAAACAGGGTCTCACTTTTGCCCAGGTTGGAGTGCAGTGGTGCGATCTCGGCTCACTGCAACCTCTTCCTCCCAGGTTCAAGCGATTCTCCTGTCTCAACCTCCCGAGCAGCTGGGATTACAGGTGCCCGTCACCATGCCCAGCTAATTTTATATTTTTAGTAGAGAAGGGATTTTACTATGATGGCCAGGCTGGTCTCAAACTCCTGACCTCAGGTGACCCACCCGCCTCAGCCTCCCAAAGTGCTGGGATGACAGGCGTAAGCCACCGTGCCTGGCCAGCTGTGCTCTTCAGTGGGTGCCTGGGTGTGTGTAAATTTGTGTGTCTGGGCGTGTATGTGCTCCTGTATGCCTGTGTGTTGCTCGTGCATGTGCCTGCATAAGTGTGTATCTGTGCCTGTGTGTGAGTTTCCACCTGTACGAATGTGCCTGTGAGTGTATTTCTGTGTATTTGTGTTTGTGGGTGTGTGCACGCCTCTGTGAGCACGTGCCTGCCAGAATACGCCTGTGTGGGCATGTGCACAGTGCCTCTGTATGTGCAGTGTGCTGTGTGCTTGAGTGAGCCTGGGCGTGCGCATGTTCCTGTGCCTCCAGATGCTCATCTTTGTATTTGGACCTGTCTCTTGGCATTTAGGGGCACCCAGGACTGTGGGCCCATCTGCTGCTACCTCCATGGCCAGGCTCACCTCTCCCCTAAGACTGCCCTCTGATTCCAGATAGTCATACTCTTTGGATAAAAGCTCTGGGGTGGCAGGACGCGGTGGCTCACACCTGTAATCCCAGCACTTTGGGAGGCCGAGGTGGGTGGATCATGAGGTCAAGAGATCGAGACCATCCTGGCCAAAATGGTGAAACCCCGTCTCTACTAAAAATACAAAAATTAGCCGGGCTCGGTGGCACGTGCCTGCGGTCCCAGCTACTTGGGAGGCTGAGGCGGAAGAATCGCTTGAACCCAGGTGGCAGAGGTTGCAGTAGTGAGCCAAGATTGTGCACTGCACTCCAGCCTGGTGACAGAGCAAGACTCCATCTAAAAAAAAAAAAAAAAAGCTCTGGGGTGAAGTTTTTGTTGGGTAGATATGAGGTCTGGGCTTGAGATCGCAAGTAGAAGACGGGGTTTCCAAACCAGAGTGGAGGAAAGGGGAGCAAAACTGGGCCTTGGTGCAGTGGGTGTCTGTCCTCCTGGCTCCCATCAGCGAGGGATCATAGGCCCATCAGGGAAGACTCTCTGTTGCTGCCCAGAGCAGGGGTCTTCTTTTATCCCCAGCACCACTCGACCTCTCTTGGCTCCATCCTGCGTCTGTCATCCTCACCGTTGTGCCATCAGCCCGCCAGGCATCAAAGAGCCTTGCGTGTGCAGCTGCCCCACGGGGGAGGCCCCCAAAGCTGCTTCCTCGTCTTTGCCAGCTTCCTCCTGTCCTGGCTACCTCCACTCACCCTGCCTTCATCCTTCCCTCTGGCACTCCTCCTCCTCAGGTCTCCATCTGCCTGTCTCTCTATTCTCCAGCGTCTTGGCTTGGAGTAGTCCACCACCCAAAATCTGAAAGAGAAAGAAACCTTATCCCCACCTTCTCATCAAAAATCACTGAGTCGGGGTGGGGAGGGATAATGAGGGGAGAAATACCAGATGTAGGTGACCGGGGGAATGGAGGCAGCAAACCACCTTGCCATGTATGTACCTATGTGACAATCCTGCATGATCTGCACATGTACCCCAGAACCTAAAGTACAATTAAATAAATGAATAAATAAAATCTAAAAAAAAAAATTACTGAATCATTAACTTAAAAACAAAAAAAAAAGCTGTTATTTGGTTTGTTCTGGTCTGTCACTGACTCCCTCTTTCATGCTCCTGAGCCCTGACCCCGCTGTCTCTGCGGCTCCTCCACGGCACCCCTCACCTCTGCCTGTGGCTTTCTCCCTGACTCTTGCTCTACCCAGAAAGGTGGTTGGGGAAGTTGTCCTAATCTGGGCTGCAGATGGAGGCAGTAAAGGTGGAGGGGTCGAGCTGGGAAGAGAGAAGCCCCCAGGGCATGGTTGCTTCTTCTGGACAGACAGAACTTGGGTGAGTGGTGGACAGCTGCACCCCAGTCATCACCATTAGCTCCTAAGCACTCTAATTTTGCTTCCCAGGAGCTTAAGGGCTTCCTCCCCTATTTGATCTGCCCCTCCCCGCCTGAGGTCACCCAGACCTGGGATCCCGGATTCACAGCACAGGACGCTGGCTCTGGAGAGCCTGGAGCTCCCGCCCGCATCTGGGCTCTGGGCAGATCCCTGCAGAGAGGGTCGGACTTCGGCTCCAGTTCTGCTGACTTTGGAAGGGTGGGCACTACCACCATGCTGGACCACTCCTTCTTGAAGGAGGTTTCGTGGAAGGCTGGGGTGGGTGGGGTCTGCGTTCTTCTCTATTGCTTCAAGCCCCAGAAAAGCATGGTATTGGAGAAGGCGGATTATCATGCTGACAGCCGAAAAGTCAGATGATTATTGTGAACCCAAAATATCTAAGACAGGTCTCAATCAACTTAGAGAGTTTATTTTGCCAAGGTTAAGGACATGCTGTGACACAGCTCCAGGAGGTCCTGAGGCCGTGTGCCCAAGGTGGTGGGGGCACAGCTTGCTTTTTTACATTTGAGGGAGACGTGAGACATCAGTCAATATCTGTGAGACCTACATTGGTTAGAGATTTAGTTTTCTTGCACATGGTGTAAATGCTGCTCCCCCTGATTTTGGCCCTGACCTCCACCAACAGGAAGTGGGTTCCTAGGGGGTGGCGGCACGTACCTCGTTGCGTGGGGAGGGTGGGCTTGCTGCTCATTCCTCCCCCTCTCCCTGCACTCTCAGCCAGATTACTTTGGGCCTCTTCCAGCAGGTCCTGAGATCATTGACGGGTGAGATGAGGAAGTGAGGAAAGAGGCTAAACACAAAGAAAAGGGAGGGAGACGGTAGAGTGGGAATCTTTAAAAATACACACACACACACACACACACACACACACACGTGTGTGTATGTGTGTGTGTATGTATATATATGTATTTTAAAGGCCCAGGCCTGGCAGCACACACCTATGTCCCAGCTGTTTCAGAGGCTGAGATGGGAGGCTCACTTGAGCCTGGGAGCTCGAGGCTGCAGTGAGCCATGATCAAGCCACTTCACTCTAGCCTGGGTGACAGGATGAGACTCTGGCTCTAGAAACTAAAATAAAACACATTAAATTCAAGGAACTTGGTAGTATAAACCAAAATGAAAGGAAGCAGTAACAGTTTGGTAAGAGGGAGTGACATTCGGCAAAAAGGAGAATGAACGAGTGTGAACCACAGAGTGTGCACCAGCCTTGCCTGGACATGCCGTTTACACTGTCCCGCAGTCTTGGAGGCAACACTCCATTCCACTCGTGAAGAAACTGAGGCTCAGAGAGAGCCAGAGGATTCCCACCGAGATCCATGTGGCTGCAGAGCTGCTGGATTTTCCAGTCCCTCCGTGCTGTTTTGTGTTTTGTTTTGCTCTGTTTGGTTTAAGGAGAAGCGGGAGTGGGGAGGCAGAAGAACCAAGGGGCATTTGGAAAACTGTGGGGTTTTGCTTCTTGGAAGTCCCAAGACAGAAAGACTCTTTCTCTGAAATGGGGAGAGGAGTGAAGAAGCTATTGTTTCCTGGACTGGGCAGTTAGGTCTTCATGGGGCAGGTAGGGAGGGATAGTTGGAGACCCTTTGTGCTGCAGGAAAAAGACTAGAAGAATATACATTTAAGTGCTAGCAATGTTTCCTTTGGAGAGAGACAATGAGAGGAGGGAGAAGGTTTTCCATTTTCACTTTACTTTATATACATTTGTATTTATTTATTTAGTTAGTTAGTTATTTAGTTAGTTTGGAGACAGGTCCTGCTCTTTTGCCCAGGCTGGAGTGCAGTAGTGCAATCACAGCTCACTGCAGCCTCGACCTCCCAGGCTAAAGCAATCTTCCTGCCTCAGCCTCCCATGGTATACCTGGAGAGGTAAATGCCTTTGTCTTCATCTTACATGCAAGAAACAGAGTTTTCCCAGTTCACTCCGTTGCCCGCACTTACTGCATTATCTCTGAATGACAGTGAGTTCAAAGCCTCCTGCTCAGGATCATAACATGGCTCAAAGAAGAGAAATAATTTTATTTATTTATTTATTTATTTATTTATTTATTTTTTGGGACGGAGTTTCGCTCTTGTTACCCAGGCTGGAGTGCAATGGCACAATCTCGGCTCACCGCAACCTCTGCCTCCTGGGTTCAGGCAATTCTCCTGCCTCAGCCTCCTGAGTAGCTGGGATTACAGGCACGCACCACCATGCCCAGCTAATTTTTTGTATTTTTAGTAGAGACGGGGTTTCACCGTGTTGACCAGGATGGTCTCGATCTCTTGACCTCGTGATCCACCCGCCTCGGCCTCCCAAAGTGCTGGGATTACAGGCTTGAGCCACCGCGCCCGGCCAATTTTATTTTTTTTAAAATGGGGTTTCTCCATGATGGCCAGGCTAGTCTTGAACTCCTGACCTCAGGTGATCCACCCACCTTAGCCTCCCAACGTGCTGGGATTACAGGCGTGAGCCACTGCACTCAGTCGAGAAATAATTTTTTTAACGCCTTCTGCCAGGGCTGTCTATAAAAAAACATAATTTGAGAGCCACTTGGAGGACTTTCTCCCACACCAACCCACTCAGAAATATCCTCCCTTTGGCCCGCCATTGATGCTTGAAACTTCACCAACAGCAGTTGATGCCTCTGTGTTACTACGAGGTGGCCTCCTCTCACCTCCCAGGGGCAGTCATGGCCTCTGG